GACAGCCTGGAGGAGTCACGTGGGCTCCTTGAGGGAGAGAACATGGGAACCAGGGGCTGCTGGCCGGTAGGAAGAGTAGTCAGGGAGACCATGTCTGTGGTGAGTTATTTTTTTATTTTTTTATTTTTTGAGACGGAGTCTCGCTCTGTCACCCAGGCTGGAGTGCAGTGGCCGGATGTCAGCTCACTGCAAGCTCCGCCTCCCTGATTTACGCCATTCTGCCTCAGCCTCCCGAGTAGCTGGGACTACAGGCGCCCGCAGCCTCGCCCAGCTAGTTTTTTTGGTAATTTTTAGTAGAGACGGGGTTTCACTGTGTTATCCAGGATGGTCTCAATCTCCTGACCTCGTGATCCGCCCGTCTCGGCCTCCCAAAGTGCTGGGATTACAGTGTGGTGAGTTATTTTCGGGTGCCTATCACCTCAACTTGTTCATTCGCTTCCCTTGAACACCTGTGGTGGGCCATGTGCTCATCATGGGCCACTGAGGGACCACAGCCCTCTTCCCCCTCCCAAGGAGTCACAGATGATGCAAGGGTTGCTGCCGGTGCTGGAAGAGGAGTTGGGCTTCAAAGCACAGTGCATCCTCAGCGTCTTGGATAGGTGCTCGGAAATGGACTTAAGCAAAACAAAGCAGATCCTGTAATAACAGTCCTTTAAACAAAGTGGTTTCCTTATACGTCCTTTCGCTTAAGGTCACAGTTTCCAAGAATCTATTGATGACGTTAAGTGAGAGCTTAGTTGAGTGGCTAATGACTCATAGGAAGCTAGTGAACTTCATTGTTTGGGGAGCGCAGCGATCTCTACTTCCTAGTTCCAGCCTCTGCAGGCAATAGGGAGGTCCCGCACTTAAATGCTCAGGGGGAACGTTTAACAACTCGAGATTTTTTGTCCTGTTGCTCATTTTCTATGTATCTGCCCTCGTCGATACAGTAGCCAGTGCTCAGAAGTTATGTATGGCTACTAAGGGGGGCTGCACAAATTAGAACATTTCCATCATCGAGGAAGGTTGTATGGGACAGCACTGACACAGGATACGTAAAAGGAGTGGGGGGCCGGGCCCGGTTGCTCACGTCTGTAATTCCAGCACTTTGGGAGGCCAAGGCAGGTGGATTACCTGAGGTCAGGAGTTCGAGATCAGCCTTGCCAACATGGCGAAACCTGGTCTCTACTAAAAATTACAAAGAAAAAAAAGCCGGGCGTGGTGGCGAGTGCCTGTAGTCCCAGCTACTCTGGAGGCTGAGGCAGGAGAATCGCTTGAATCCAGGAGGTAGATGCTGCAGTGAGCCGACATTGCGCCACTGCAGTCCAGTTCTGGGTGACAGAGTAAGACTCCTCCTCAAAAAAAAAAAAAAAAAAGAAAGTAAAGGAAAGGAGTGGGGTTCATGGAGCATCGGATTGTTGGAGGTGTCCACATCCCTGAGAAAGCTACCCTAGGGGCAAAATGTTTTGCAGCTCGCCAAGTTTTGCATTGCAGCCAGAGTTAACTCGGGTTAACTAGGTTTAGCTGGCATTGACCTAAATGTCCCGGAGAGGACAGCGGGCACCATTCTTATCCTTTCGGAGCCTGATTTAGCTGTAGCTCTGATGTGGACTGGCCTCAGAACCAAGGTAGGCCAGCAGGAAAGGTATTCCTGAGGAGGTGACGGAGCTGGGGCCGAGAAGCAGCAGTAGGAGTTGGGCGGGAGGGAGGAATGGAATTCACAGACACCAGGAGGAGGGGCGGAGGCAAGCCTGGCGCCCATGGTTTTCCCGGGGGGTCCAGAGACCCCCTTATTGAGGCTCCTGGCTCTTTCGCAGAGGCACAGCTGGGACACATCTGGACTGGAAAGGGGCTTGCCTCTCCTTCCCAGCTCCAGGCCTTGGAGTAGACAGGCCCCTTCTCCCTCCCTGCCTCCTCGAATACCGGGAATTCCGACGCCGCTGGACGCCCAAGCCAGGCTGAGAACTTCCTTCAGCCGGGAATGTGCAGCTGGGGCGGAGGAGGGGAGCATCGGCTGCTGCGGTCCTGACCTTGGGGAGGCTGCAGTGGAGTGGATCATTCCAGGCTAAGGAGTTCACCTCTGTCGCCCCGGGGCCCCCAGGACACAGCCCCGGCCCTGGTGTACAGTAGCCAGTCAATAAACAGTAAGTGAGCAGAAGCCAGCAGCTAATATTTATTGAGCCAGGCCCTGTGCTGGCAACTGTACTCAGCTAATTATCAGAATCCCCTGAGGCGTGCACAGCACCAGGCCACAAGCCTCATGCTGGCAAGGCAGTGTTCTCTCTTGTATCCCCACTGGCAAGAACAGCACCTGGCACAGGACAGGCACATTTATGGATATTTTATTTTTTTATTTTTATTTATTTATTTTTTTTGAGACGGAGTCTTGCTCTGTCGCCCAGGCTGGAGTGCAGTGGCCGGATCTCAGCTCACGTCTCTTATACACATCTCCTCAGCCTCCCGAGTAGCTGGGACTACAGGCGCCCGCAGCCTCGCCTGGCTAGTTTTTTTTATTTTTTTTTAGTAGAGACAGGGTTTCACCGTGTTAGCCAGGATGGTCTCGATCTCCTGACCTCGTGATCCGCCTGTCTCGGCCTCCCAAAGTGCTGGGATTACAGGCTTGAGCCACCGCGCCCGGCCTGTTTTATTTTTTTGAGACAGAGTTTTGCTTGTCTCCCAGGCTGGAGTCTAGTGGCTCAATCTCAGTTCACTGCAACCTCCACCTCCCAGGTTCAAGTGATTCTCCTGCCTCAGCCTCATGAGTAGCTGGGATTACAGGCGCCTACCACGCCTGGCTTTTTGCATTTTTAGTAGAGACGGGATTTCACTATGTTGGCCAGGCTGGTGTGGTCTCAAACTCCTCACCTCAAGTGATCCACCTGCCTCGGCCTCACAAACTGTTGGGATTACAGGCATAAGCCACAGCACCTGGCCAGGACAAGCAAATTTAATGGTAGACTTGAGCGAAGCTGTGTGGATTCAAGTTTCAGTGCTGCACCTTCCTAGCTGTGTGACTAGGCAAATCCCTTAGCCTCTCTGTGCCTGCCTCAATTTCCTCACTGAGGCAGGCACAGACTGAGGATTAAAAAACATGCTTACTTGCATATTAGGGATATTATGAGGACAGTGAACGAGCTTATATAAAGTGGCTGTAATGCTCATAGTATGTGCTTAGTACCCAGTAAATCGCAGCTTATTTACTGTTAACTGATTGCTGAAAATTCAGATTCCTGGGCAGAGTGTGGTGGCTCACGCCTGTAATCCCAGCACTTTGGGAGGCCAAGGCAGGCGGATCATCTGAGGTCGAGTTCAAGACCACTATGGCCTGGACAATATGGCGAAACCCCGCCTCTACTACAAAATACAAAAATTAGCTGGGCGTAGTAGTGGCCGCCTGTAATCCCAGCTTCTTGAGAAGCTGAGGCAGGAGAATCACTTGAACCCGGGAGGCAGAGGTTGCAGTGAGCTGAGATCATGCTATTGCACTCCAGCCTGGGCAACAAGAGGGAAACTCCGTTTAAAAAAAAAAAAAAAAATTCAGATTCCCAGCCAGGCATGATAGCTCATGCCTGTAATGCCAGCACTTTGGGAGGCCAAGGTGGGCGGATCACTTGAGGTCAGGAGTTTGAGACCAGCCTGGGCCAACATGGCGAAACCCTGTCTTTACTAAAATTACAAAAATTATCTGAACATGGTGGTGCATGCCTGTAATCGGGAAGCCGAGGCATGAGAATTGCTTGAACCCAGCAAGTGGAGGTTGCAATGAGCCAAGATTGCGCTATTGCACTCAAGCCCGGGTGACAGAGTGAGACTCTATCTCAAAAAAAAAAAAAAAAAATCAGATTCCCAAGCTCCTCCTGCCCTGGGGGTCCTGATTCAGTCAGTCAGGACTAGATCTGTGATTTGAATGATGCTCCTAAGCAAGTCAGAGGTTCAAACATATTTGGGAAGTGGGAGGATACGCTCCCTAAATCTTTCAATGATCCCAGGAGGGAAGTACCGTTGTGTTCATTTTGTAGATGAGAAAACCGGCTTAGAGGCAGGACCCACACCAAATCAGTAAAGATGGGACTTGAATTCATAGCCAGGACACCAGGGTGCGTTAGAGAATCCCAGGGGAGCTTACATAAATAATGTGCTAAAGCACAAGATGCTAAGTATTTGATGAAAGCAGCTAATATCAGCACCAAAGACACTGCTTAAATTGTGCCTCTCACTGGGCATACCACTGCTGGAACAAGGGGGCAGACAGAACCTAACATAAAAGCCTTTTGTGTCCACGACCTGAATTATTTTGCTGGGGGAGGGAGCATGTGGATGAATTGTAGAGGCTGCCAACCGGGGGGGAGGAGTGAAGGGATCTGAGGTATGTGAGTGGGCACAAGAACCGGGATATTCATGAGGAACTGGTGGTGAGGATGCCAAGGGAAATCAAGACAGATGTGGGACAGACTTATTCCAGAACCCCAAAATTGATCTCCCCTGTCTCAGCATGGAATTGTCTCTGAAGTGTCATAGTACTAAGACCCAGAAGAGTCTAGTGATGGAGGGATGGGTATGTCGATGGACTGGGAGATGGCTGGGTGAATATGTATGGATGGCAAAATGAGTGGGTGAATGGACACAGATGGAAATATGGAGGGAGAGATGGATGGATGGAGTGCTGGATGGGGAAGATGGGTAAGTGGGATGATGGATAAATGGATGGAGGGATAGAATGCCAGATGGGGGTAGAATGATAAAGGGATGGGTGGGTGAAAAGGGCAGACAGTTGGATAAGCAAGGTAGATAGGTGAGATGAGGGACTGGAAGATGGGTAGATGGAGAGGGAACGTTAGATGGAGCAACAGCTGGATGGACAGGTGGAGATGGCAGGGTGGGTGAGATGAACAGATGGTGGGAGACGTTAACTGTATAAATTGCCAAGGGAATGGATTTCTAGGATCTACTTGAAGCAGAGCTTCTTAACTTGGCTTTCCTGAATGGGCGTCAAGCAGTTCACACACCTGCTGAAATCACACTCCAAATTATAGTGGATCCATTTTCCAATAATTCTCAAAGGAGTCTGAGATTCCCCAAGTGTTCAGAACCACTGGTTTGTTCTGTGTTAGACCTTCCCATTCATTGTCTTGTCATCCCCCACAGCCTCCAGAATGGGAAAATACACATCATCGCATGAAACAATCAGTATTAACAAAACATTGATGACATTCCCTTCCCCATCCCTGTGGATCAAGGCAAGAAGGGCCATTCGCCGACGCAGAAACCAGGAGCTGGAAAGCCGCAGCAGTTTTGAGGCCTGCGTTCAGTGTCTGGACTTCCGGGTCAAGTTCTGAGGGTCTGTGGCATCTGGCTGAAGTCCTTGCTTTGGGGAAGTCTCATGTCCTGGCTCACATATGGAAGCGGGCATCAGGAGCCCCCTGGGCCCTGCGAAGGCCCATAGATTCCTGTGTGGAGGCCAAGAGAGCAGGGTGGTTCAACCGGACCTGGGCCTTGGCTGGCCGCAGCCGCCCACCCCCACCCACGTGGATATTAACCGTCGTGGCATAGCTGAGCCGCCTGGCTGGGGGAGGTGGTGGCTGGGGCTGGGGGGGCGGTGAAGATGCCCGTGACGCGGGAGCAGAGGCGGACCAGGGGCCCCGGGAGGCTGCGGGGGCCCCTCCCCCAGGCCCCTGCCGCCGAGCCAGGCTCTGGCTGATATATGAGGCTGCCAGGTATCTGGAGAGGGCAGCTGCATTGGGGCCCAGGAGCTGACGGCTGGAAGGTGGGGGACTATGAGGTGGGGTCAAGTCTGAAGACTCCAACCTGGCAACATGAGAGGCTAAGGAGCCTCCTGGGTTGGTGGTCTGACATGGGGTGGGTAAGAGGCCCGGAATGTCTAGAGAGCCTCCTCTCTCAGGTAAAGGTGTGGCAGCTGGATCATGGGCATCTGTGAGGCTCTTCTGTTCCAACAAAGGTGTGAGTTTTTGGACCTGTGTGTCTGTAAGGCTTGGCTCCTGAAGTGGAGGTGTAGCCGCTGGACCCTGGATGTCTGGGAGGCTTCCCTGCTTGGGTGAAGTTGGGAGGGCTTGGACCCAGATGTCTGTGAGGCCTTGTGGCAGGGGCAAAGGTGTGGTAGCTGGTACCCGAGTGTCTGGGAGGTCCTGGGACAGAGACAGTGGGGCGTTGGCTGGGATCCGATGGTCCAGGTGGCTTCCGTGTGCAGGCAAAGGTGAGGTGCCTGGAATCTGAAGGTCTGGGAGATGACATGGCAAGGGCGGTGGGGTGTCGCCTGGGCCCTGGGGGTCCAGGCTGCTTCCATGCAAAGACAAAGGCGGGACGGGTTGACTGCAGACAGGGTCTGGGCCCGGAACATCCCTGGAACCTCCTTGCTTTGTTAGTGAGAAATTGGTTGAGCTCTCGCTGTCTAGGTGACCTTCTTGCTTGGGCACAGGAGTGGTGGCTGAAACTGTGAAATCAGAACAAATCTCCTCGGGCAAAGCTGGAGTGGTGGGAACGTGGATGTCCACACAGTGTCCCTGCTCAGGACAAAAGGCGGTGGATGGAGCTGGTATAGCCACGTGACTTCTATGCTCGGGCAAAGGAGTGGTAGCTGGAACTTGGGTTTCCGGGTGGCCTGGATCAGGGAAAGTTGTAAGAGCTGGCACCTGGAGGTGTAGGGGGCATTCCTGCTTGGGCAAAGGTGTAGCGGCTGGAGCCTGGACATGCTGGGAACCTCCTTGTTCAGGCAGAAGGGTAGCAGCTGAAACGTGGATGCCTGGATGGTCTTGCTTAGGCAAATTTGAAACATGTAGACCCTGGCTATCTGGGCTGCCTCCCTGCTTCGACAAAGGTATGGCAGCTTGAACCCAGGCAGCAGGACCCAGGGGGACAGACTCCTGGGCACATGTCAGCGGGAAGGCCAACTCACACACCAGCACGTGTCCAAAGGCAGGCAGGAGCCCTGAATGCAAAAAGAGGATCAAGTCAGGACCACTACCCCAGCGGGGACCACCTCTGCCAACCACGTACCCGGACCTCACCTGGCTCCACCTGCTCCTGGGGCAGACAGGGGGACGGCTGGGGTTGGGCCAGAACCCGAGGCCGGCGGCGGGGGGCATTGGCTGATGCCCGAGTCTCCGCCCGCTGCATCTGCTGGATCCGCTCACTGTAAAGCCGGGCCAGCTCTCGCACTCGGGATGCTGTCCTTTCCGAACTCGGGGCTCCAGCCTTCCCACTCCCGCTGTCTCCACCCAGATCTGAATCCTCCAGGATCAGCAGTGGCTCTGGGAAGCCCGGCCGGGCCAGCTGCCCCTGCTCCAATGCCTGCCAGGCACTCCGGATTTCTGAGCAAGAGCGGAATGCCAGCTCATCTGGGAATCCCTGATGTTGGGTGACATCCTGGGGCTGGAAGTCCGGGAATGATACCCCTTCTTCATCCTCCTCTGGCCCTGCCTTGCCTCCTGAGGGCGACTCTCCCAGTTTCCCAGGATTGCTTCCAGAGAACAGTTCTCTCCTGGTGGCTGGAGCCTCAACTGGTTCCTGCAGAGGCCCCTGGAGCCAGGAGTCACAGGGGAGGGTGGGAGTGCTAGAAAGACTGGGGGTGTCGGGGACACTAGGCATGGCTGGAAGGCAGGGCATCTCAAAAACACCAGAAATGTCAGAGAGACTAGGAAGGAGGGGACCTTCGGGAATTTCACAGCGGCTGGGAATTTCAGGAAGGTTGGGCACGTCAGGAATTTTGGTAAGGCAGGGAATGTTGGGCATTTCAGCTGCACTGGAACTTTCAAGCCCCTCCAGGACATGGAGTGGGGAAGGCCCCCGTTCATCCATCTCCAGTCCTTCCTCCTCCTCCTCCTCCTCCTCTTCAGAAGAGTCCCGGCTGGGCAGGGCTTGGAATGTGAGGGTTTCGCTGTCGCCAGGCACCTGGGAGTCTCCGGAAAACTTGGGAATGTCATGTGTGGACGGCTACAGTGGGCACAGGAGAAGAAGCCAAAGATATCAGCATGGTGGCCGGGCACGGTGGCTCATGCCTGTAATCTCAGCATTTTTGGAGGCCAAGGTGGGCGGGTCACCTGAGGTCAGGAGTTCAAGACCAGCCTGGACAACACAGTGAAACCCTGTCTCTACTAAAAATACA